CACTGAGCTCCAATGTAATTTGAAGCTGTGCCTTTCTTGGTGAGTTCCCTGGCTGAAGTGTTGCCTTTCTTGGGAATTTCTGCTGCAGGGAATCACACTAAAACACTGACAGCCCCATGCAGGTTGCAGGCATGGGTGTCATCCGAGTGGGCCAAGCTAAGCTGCCTGTGTATGGCCCCCGTGTGCCAGGGACCAGGACTGTTCCTCCAGCTGCGGAGCTGCCTCCCTGCCTCGCACCGGGGAGCGTCCTGTGCCTGCGCCTGTGGCAAAGGCCCCGTGAGCCACCTCCTGCTGGGCTCCCGGCTATTGCTGGGAACTACAGGTGCTCAGCAATTCCTAGCATGCACTCAGCACCTTGCAGGATCTGGCTCTCTTGAAGGTGGCGGCTCCATCCCCGATGGGGTCATCTCCCAGCAGCTCTGGCTGGGCTGCCCGCAGGAGGGTGACCACTGGCCTCACCGGGTGATCACTGCAGTGAGCAGGGTTGGGGGCTTGAAGCCTTCCCTGTCCCCTCTGCCTCCTTCTCCCCATCCCACTGGGTTTCATCCCATCCCCAGGGATGGGCATAGCTCAGCAGCGATGCTGCTCCATGGCAGGGAAGCGCTCCTGCCACCTGACCATAAATACTAATTAATAGCAAAGCCCTGGTCTGGATCAAGGAGGAGGCTCTGAATTTTCTTGGGAACTTTGCTGTCTGAAAGGTATCTTAAATATTCTCTAGCACTCAGCCTATCAGTAGGTCAATTATACAGTGAGCAGTCATACGAAGTTAATTTCTAATTTAATACAATGTTAAAAGGTTGTCAGGTTAAAATCTAATCTATAAACAAGACATGAAATGTCTCTTTAAAACAAGTGTCATGAACCGGTCCTGGCTCAAACCACAGACTGCTGCTTCTTTTATAGGATGTAATTACTTCCCAGTGAGTATTTACAATATTATTATAGGACGGTAATAAAAGGCCGGTGCCAGCCGTGCCCGTGCGGCGGCCCAGTGCCAGCTGGGCGCTAATCCCGCTCCCACGCCGGCCCCTCTCCCTCCGGCCCCTTCTCTGGGGAGGTGAGAAGTGCCGGCTCACAGGGCTTCGCTCCCGCACGGTGCCGTGGGAAGCAGGATGGGGGAAGAACCGATCATGTTTTCACTTAAACACACCTCGAGGTTAGGGGGATGGGGACCCCCCTGACATGTTTTGGAGGGAGCACAAGTGTCTCTGCATCCCCTGGCAAGGAGAGCACGCCGGCCCAGCACCACGGCGTTTCACTGGCCCCTGGGATGTGCCGTACCTGACAGTCCCGGGGGGAAACGATGGGCGAGTGCATTCATTTTTTAACAACCTGGGGTAAGGACTTTGGCAAGGTTTCGCTGAGGGCTGAAGGTTATGAGCCACGTTCAGACCAGCGGCTTCATTCAAGCAGAAAACCAGAGGCAGCACCTGCAGCCCGGGGTGAAGAGCCGGCCCCGTGCCCTGCCTCTGCCCCGACTCCCTCCATGGAGGAACGGGCAGGACGCGGGCAGGGGCGACCGGGCACGTTCCGCTGCCTCTGCTCCCACACGAGGGGCGTCCGCACTGCAGCAACCTCTCAAAGTACATTGAATTTTGCTCCTTTTGCTGTCGAAAGGGGAAAGTCCGGCCATCATGTGGGAGTGATGCCATTGTCCCACCCGAGTGGCTGGCCGGACCACGAGACTCCCGCTCCTGGTAGTTCACGGTGTCTGTGGGAGCTGGGCAGGATCTGGGCTGCTATTGCCAGGCTCAACTGAAAAACACATGCGTCACCCTGCTGTAGGTCATGCGATTGGCTTTGAAATCATGTGGGTTTATTTTCCAGGAGGAATCTCACTGGCTGCAAAGGTTTGGATCAGATGTGGTCACGTCTGAGCTCTCCTCTACGCCCATGAAGCCCTGCAAGGTGGGGTTTTTCTAAAGAAGACCAAGATCTTGATGGGAGCAGGTGACCCCCACAGCGAGGGCTGCAGGGCAACGTCGGGTAATGTAATACCAGCGCTAAAATGGAGGGAGGTGGTGACGTGCTGGTCTGACCCGGCCCGCCAAGCTGCAAGGGACGCGTGGGCTCTGGGCTGCGGCCCCTCCGCTGGCCAGGACTCTTCCCACTCCCTGGGTTTTCTGGTAAATTCTGCTGCGCTTTGTAATTGAGAAAAGCTGCTGCTGAACATCTGCGCAGGCACTGTCCGCCCCGAGCCGGCTGCCCGGGTTGTTAGTGCTTGCACTGCCGGTGCTTTGATGTGTGCGTGATTCACAGGCTTGGCCAGGGCCGTCCCGCAGATGCTGCCTCTGGGTGGTGCGGGACGGCACGCCGCGAGGTGGGACGGCACCCGCCGCATCTGTGCAAACAGCAGCCCTTGCTTGAAACACCCTGTGTCTCCTCGCCAGGGCTCAGGAGGTGACCTCTCCTGCTTCCATCTGCAGAGGAAGGTACCCAGAGGCATTCGGGGAGGTTGGCTCAGGTGCTTCCCTCCATCCCACCAGCACATGAAGGGCAGAGGGATGGTGATGCCCACGCGCCGGCCAGCACAGCAGAGCCCCACCGCGCCGGTGCGAAGGAGAAGCAGCCGAGCAGAGGGAGCAGAAGAGCCCGGGGCTTGAGGCTGGCGGCACCAGGCAGGCAGAGCCACAGGGCCGGGGCTTTGCTCTGCAGGCACGGCGCGGCCCGGGGAGCGCAATCTGTGGCCTTAATCCCGCCATGTCCTGTGCGCTCTCAAATCCCCTTCACTTCAATGAGCGCTTGTAGTGTCAGGCCTGCGCTGGGCAAGACGGCGCGCGGGGACGGCGGGGAGGATTTGCTCAAGAGGCACTGTTTTTAAGGTGAGATTTGAAGGATGGAAGACAGATGGCAACTGGAGAGGACAAACAGATCAAGTGAAGGGTTTGTTTTCAGCGTGGAGGGGAAAACACAGGAGGGAATTACTGCTGGCTACAAAATGGGGGCTATTAATACCTGCAGCGTCTCGAGCTTTGCACTTAGCCCGGCGAGCCGGGATCCTCACGGGGCGCCCAAGGCGGGGGCAGACACTGGCCCCTTTGCGATGCAGGAGTGTGGTTTTTTCTGCTGAGATGAATTGATCCCAGCGTAGCGCTGAGTGTACCCAGACAAAGCCGGGAGAGGGGTTATTAGCCGGCCAGCGGCCCTGCCATTGTCCCCACTATCTTTTCTTCCCTTTCAGCCTCCCTCCCCGTGGCCCAGGTCTCAAAGACCATGTGTCAAGAGATTAGTGACCTGCACCAAGGGCAATTGCTTGCTTTGTGCCGCCAGCCCGGCGTCGGGGCTGTTATTTACTTGTTATTTGGTGCTGCCTCTGTTGAGGTATCCATGGAAAACAGGCCTGGAGAGCAATCTGCCGGCACTGCAGAGCGTACGAGGGCGAGGAGCTAGGAGAGGAGGCACTTCAGGTTTTGGCGTGCTCACTGCGTACCCATACTGAGACCCCTAAATCCCCTGGGGAGGTTGGTGCAAGAGCCCAGCACCTACAGAGAAGCGAGGAAAAAGCTGGGCAGTGAGAAAATGAAGCGCAGTGCAGAGGTGTCGGGGCACCTCACCGGGCACGGTGCTGGAGCCAGGGCCAGGATGGGGCATTGCCCCATGGCAGTTTGAGTTTGCAGACTTGTTTTAAAAATTAAAAGATGGGAAGAGTCTGTCCTGCCTGCAGAGCCCTGCTCCACCTTTCCGTGCCTGGCAGAGAGCAGCTCAGAGGAGCGCTGGGGCTTTGAGGAAACGTGAATAAAAATGATGAGAGTTGGCCCTTCCATGCAGTGCTGGGTATACATCAAATTTGTTCATGATGAAACAGCCATGAAACGGACAGGTGCAATAAGAAAGCGTTATTCCTGCCCATGACCAGCTCATGATTTATTCTGGCTGGTCTTATTTCCTCAGCAGTGAAATGCATTCTCCTATAAACACAAGACGGTGATTTTCTGCAATCTTAAAAGTCAAACCTAGACGAAAACCGCAACTCATGTGACGTGGGAACAACAGCGTCAGATCCTGCTTTAGATGCAATTTCAAACACGTTCGCCGATCCCGTCTGAAGCAGACAGGCTGAGATGTGAGCCCCCGGCAGCGCTGTGCACCCAGGGGTGTCCCCCTCTCCCCTCCTCTGATGCTGTAACTTCTGCCAAACTCCTGGCCCCAAACAGGGAGAAAGGGGGTTCCGGAGGCGCAGGGCCCCTGCCCTGCTGAGGGGCTGGGGCTGGGTGGGCTGGCTGACCCCCATGGGGCTGGGGGCTGCCCTGCGCCTTCCCCCTGCCAGGGGGAACCGCTGGGGGGGGGGGGGGGACCGGGGGGCAGGACCCAGCCCGGGACACCCCTGCCCTCCGGGCTCCTCCGGGCGTCCTTTGGGGATTTGCTGCCCGGGCACAGGTGGGGTCCCGCCTGGAGGGGGATTTTGGGGGGGGCAGCGGCTCTGCCCACCCCTCGGAGGTTGTGCCGGGCGCGGAGACCCCCGTGATGTTTGTCCTTTCGGCCAAGCCCGGCCCGGCCCCGCCGCCCCTTCCCCCAGAACCGCCGTTTCTACCGGTTTTCATCCCGTCCCGCCGGGGGCCGGGCCGGCCCCGTCCCGGCCGCTCGGGGCACGGTGCAGCCCAGCCTGCGGGACCGTCCCAAATCCTCACTTCTGATCCCGCAGAGGAGGCGGGCCGGGGGCCCGAACAGCAGTATTTTCTCAAATAACGCCGTTTGCTAAGGTCTTTTATTTGAGAGACGAACCGGCCGCGAAGCACAGCCCTGGCTCTCCCGCTCTCCCCTCCCGGGACCGGCTTCGCTCGGGGAACCTGGGCGGAAAACGGGAGCCCGATCGCCGACAGACGCCGATACAGCCCCCCCGGGGCGGGAGGGGCCGGCACCGACCTCCGGGGTCCCGGCGTGGGACGCCCCGTCGGAGCGGGGACTCTGGGCTCCCTCCGGCCGCGGGAGCCGAGCCGCGGTCACGCGTGGCGGCGGGCGCGGGGGGTGCTCGCCCCCGGCCCCATCCCATGACGGCGATGAGGCGGCGGTAATGCCATTAACCCGGGGATTACGCGTCCGCGCCGGGATGTGACACACTTTCTCAAATGGAAGTTTTTTTAAACAGAGGGATTTGCATGATCCCCCCGCTCCATCCCCGTCCCCGCCCGCCCCCCGCGGTGCCAGCTCGGGTTTCAGGCCGCGGTCGCCCCCGCGCTGGCACGGCCCCGGCCGGGGCTCCCGTCTCCTTTTAAGGCACGGGGGC